GACAACTTTATTTTGATCAACTACATACGAAGATGGACGATCGAGATCGAAAGTTGATCAACGGGCAAATAGCTTTCATTGGCTATAAATTGCCCAAGCAGACTTGAAGACAAAAACACTTGAACAAGAGCTGAACACGAAAAACAACGAAGAATATCCAATCAATCATAAAGTGATATATTGAGCTATATACGATAGAATTCAAGTCTGAGTGAGAGAAATATTTTATTTCATTGTAAACTTCTCTACTGAGTGTAGAAAGAGAGCGGAGTAACTAGAGAGAGTGAAAAACCCTGGTTGAGTGTAGCTTTGTGCGTAGCACTCGGTGTAAAGGGCAGAGTAACAAGGGGAGCTTGTGAAAACCCTGTGAGAGCGTAGCTTTGTGCGTAGTTCTCGTGGTGTAGGAGTACAGCTTGGTGCGAAGTACTCGGGAAGGCGGAGTAACAAGAGGAGCTTGTGAAAAACCTTGGAGGAGTATAGCTTTGTGCGAAGCACTCGGAGAAGTGTCGGTGGACACTTATTCACTATTGTATTTGGGTGATCAAAGAATAATGAATTTATCCTTGAAGTGTAAGGAGACGAGTGGAGTAGGAGAATTACACCATCTCCAAACCACTATAAATCTCTCTCTCTCTCTTTACTTACTGCTCATATATTTTGTGCATGCTTATCTTAATTGCGAACTAATCCGATTACGTTTTATCGCATATCTTTATCTGTCTGGGTTTAATAGTTCTCACGTTTGCATGCAAGCCAAACTTTACGTACATCATCCTTGAACCATATCAAGTGTTTCTAATGTGTTGCATGTTTAGAGTATCTCTTTGAGCACCGACTATTAAGCATAACACTTTACCGCTACCTATTCCGCTGCACGCTCTAAGTTGTTTAACTTGTTGATGCTTGTTACTTAGAGTTGAAATTACCAAAGTGTTATTTGCCTTGTGTGTTTTTACAAGAAGTTTGAAAAAGTTAGAGAAGTCTATTCACCCCCCCCCCCCCCGCGTAGACTTCTCGTCACCCTTCCGGGACCAACACTTATTCTTCCATGCCTGACATCTTGCCTTCAAAACTTTCAAGGTAAGACCAATGATCACAGGTTTATAAATTTAAAGCTTATAGTTTGTTGGAAAAAGTGCTTGTAATCTGTAATACATTTGAAATACAACAAAATACAGAAAATAGCAGGGAACAAAGACGGGATCATTTGATATCTTCAGGCATGTAATCACTTTCCTATAAGCTTTAAATCTCCCTCTATAAATGCAACAAGGTTCAAGATTTAATTTTATGGGATACAAGAAGATGAATGAAATTCTTAAGTTGCTTTGTTTAAGAATTTCCTGTAGAATTGTAGAATTGTGAAATATCAAGATATGCAACAAGATAATTTTGCATCTCCGTTTGCAGAAGTTTCTCCATAATATTTATAAACGAAAATATGACTGTGGGAGAAGTTAAATGGAAGTTTTCTGCAGTTTTAAAAACTTATCTTCCATAAAATATATCATAAATGATATATTTATCATAACAAAATATTAATTACATAAATCATGTTCAACATGAATATATATATGTAATTATGAACCTTTGTAAGGTTGTAAACCGCATGCAAATAACTGTGCAAATATATTTAAATATATATTATAATTTTCTAGCACACTTTTGCATATAAGTTTGGAAAAATTGGAAGCTCATGTGCTGTGCAATCATTTTTCGAATGAAATAAACAATTCCCCTATATTGTGAATAATCCCCCAATGTTGGGAATAGCCCCCCATTGTTGGGGAATATACAAAGCCTTCCAACAAACTCATTCTCAAATTAACTTTCTACCAAACTAAAATAATATTTATAACTCCTCAACTCCAAATATTATTTTAAGCTTTCATGGTAGTCCATCTGAAATATTAATCTTCATTACTATATAAATTTCCAACATTATTTTTGTTATCGCAACATTATTTTCATTTAACAATTTAAATATAAATGGTATAAATGTTTAACATTTAAATTCTTTGTTAAGAATGACACTTCGTACCCTTGGATAGTGTTTATCGCGAATAAAAGGTTGTTGAGTATGTTGGCTACAAGTATAATTAAAAGAAAAAAATAACTTATTTATAAATAGCATTTCTGATCTAACTTGGCAAAATAACTTATTTATAAATAGTGTTTCCGAACTAACTTGGCTTTGGATATTTTAATACGGAGTAATTGGATTTGAACTTTTAATGGGAAAACTTCAAATTACGGGAGCAAATATCCGAACTAACATACCTTTGGACATTTTAATACGGAGTAATTGGAATTGTGTACTAACTTTACAAGTAATTGTATATGCAAATGTGATTTCGGGATTTTGAAATTTAATTAGAAACTATAACAATTGTTGAGAGTGGGATTTGAACCCACGCCCTTTCAGACCTGAACCTTAATCTGGCGCCTTAGACCAACTCGACCGTCTCAACATTATTTTTGTAATCGCAACGTTGTTTTCATTTAACAACTTATATATAAGTAATTTAAATGTTTATCATTTAAATTCTTTGATAAGAATGACAATTCGTATTCTTATATAGTGCTAATCGTGAATAAAAGGTTGTTGAGTATGTGGCCTCAAGTATAATTAAAAGAAAAAAATAACTTATTTATAAATAGTATTTCCGAACTAACTTGGCAAAATAACTTCTTTATAAATAGTGTTTCCGAACTAACTTGGCTTTGGATATTTTAATACGGAGTAATTGGATTTGAACTTTTAATGGGAAAGCTTCAAATTACGGGAGCAAATATCCGAACTAACATACCTTTGGACATTTTAATACGGAGTAATTGGAATTGTGTACTAACTTTACAAGTAATTGTATATGCAAACGTGATTTCGGGATTTTGAAATTTAATTAGAAACTATAACCATTGTTGAGAGTGGGATTTCAACCCACACCCTTTCGGACCAGAACCTTAATCTAGCGCCTTAGACCAACTCGGCCATCTCAACATTATTTTTGTAATCGCAACGTTGTTTTCATTTAACAATTTATATATAAGTAATTTAAATGTTTATCATTTAAATTCTTTGATAAGAATGACAATTCGTATTCTTATATAGTGCTGATCGTGAATAAAAGGTTGTTGAGTGTTGGCCACAAGAAAGAAAAAAAATATCATATTTATAAACAGTTTCTTTGTTGGTGTTAAGTTAAAAGTTTTCTGTTTTTTTTTTTTTTTTTTTTTTTTTTTTTTTTTTTTTTTTTTTTCCGAGGTGCGTCCCTTAGTGCGAGGGTTGAACTAGAAAGAAACTGGTTTCGTACATAGATGTTTTGAACTTTAAAAAGGAAAGTTTCAAATTACGGGGATTTCTAAACTGACTTCACTTTGAGCATTTTAATACGGAGTAATTGAAACTGTAATCCTTGTTGATAGTAGATTTGAACCCACGCCCTTTCGGACCAGAACCTTAATTTGGCACCTTGGACCAACTCGGCCATATCAATATTATTTTTGTTATCGCAACATTATTTTCATTTAACAATTTAAATATAAATGGTATAAATGTTTAACATTTAAATTCTTTGTTAAGAATGACACTTCGTACCCTTGGATAGTGTTTATCGCGAATAAATGGTTGTTGAGTATGTTGGCTACAAATATAATTAAAAGAAAAAAATAACTTATTTATAAATAGTATTTCCGATCTAACTTGGCAAAATAACTTATTTATAAATAGTGTTTCCGAACTAACTTGGCTTTGGATATTTTAATACGGAGTAATTGGATTTGAACTTTTAATGGGAAAGCTTCAAATTACGGGAGCAAATATCCGAACTAACATACCTTTGGACATTTTAATACGGAGTAATTGGAATTGTGTACTAACTTTACAAATAATTGTATATGCAAACGTGATTTCGGGATTTTGAAATTTAATTAGAAACAATAACCATTATTGAGAGTGGGATTTGAACCCACACCCTTTCGGACCAAAACCTTAATTTGGCGCCTTAGACCAACTCGGCCATCTCAACATTATTTTTGTAATTGCAACATTGTTTTCATTTAACAATTTATATATAAGTAATTTAAATGTTTAACATTTAAATTCTTTGATAAGAATGACAATTCGTATACTTATATAGTGCTGATCGTGAATAAAAGGTTGTTGAGTGTTGGCCACAAGATAGAAAAAAATATCATATTTATAAACAGTTTCTTTGTAGGTGTTAAGTTAAAAGTTTTCTGTTTTTTTTTTTTTTTTTTTTTCCGAGTTGTGTCCCTTAGTGCGAGGGTTGAACTAGAAAGAAACTGGTTTCGTACATAGATGTTTTGAACTTTAAAAGGGAAAGTTTCAAATTACGAGAGCAAATTTCCGAACTAACATAACTTTGGACATTTTAATACGCAGTAATTGGATTTCTGAACTGACTTCACTTTTAGCATTTTAATACGGTGTAATTGAAACTGTAATCGTTGTTGATAGTAGATTTGAACCCACACCCTTTCGGACCAGAACCTTAATCTGGCGCCTTAGACCAACTCGGCCATCTCAACATTATTTTTATAATCGCAACATTGTTTTCATTTAACAATTTATATATAAGTAATTTAAATGTTTAACATTTAAATTCTTTGATAAGAATGACAATTCGTATTCTTATATAGTGCTAATCGTGAATAAAAGGTTGTTGAGTATGTGGGTACAAGTATAATTAAAAGAAAAAAATAACTTATTTATAAATAGTATTTCCGAACTAACTTGGCAAAATAACTTATTTATAAATAGTGTTTCCGAACTAACTTGGCTTTGGATATTTTAATATGGAGTAATTGGATTTGAACTTTTAATGGGAAAGCTTCAAATTACGGGAGCAAATATCCGAACTAACATACCTTTGGACATTTTAATACGGAGTAATTGGAATTGTGTACTAACTTTACAAGTAATTGTATAAGCAAATGTGATTTCGGGATTTTGAAATTTAATTAGAAACTATAACCATTGTTGAGAGTGGGATTTGAACCCACGCCCTTTCAAACCAGAACCTTAATCTAGCGCCTAAGACCAACTCGGCTATCTCAACATTTTTTTTTGTAATCGCAACATTGTGTTCATTTAAAAATTTAAATATACGTAATTTAAATGTTTAACATTTAAATTCTTTGATAAGAATGACAATTCGTATTCTTATATAGTGTTGATCGTGAATAAAAGGTTGTTGAGTGTTGGCCACAAGAAAGAAAAAAATATCTTATTTATAAACAGTTTCTTTGTTGGTGTTAAGTTAAAAGTTTTTTTTTTTTTTTTTTTTTTTTTTTTTTCCGAGGTGCGTCCCTTAGTGCGAGGGTTGAACTAGAAAGAAACTGGTTTCGTACATAGATGTTTTGAAGTTTAAAAAGGAAAGTTTCAAATTACGGGGATTTCTAAACTGACTTCACTTTGAGCATTTTAATACGGAGTAATTGAAACTGTAATCGTTGTTGATAGTAGATTTGAACCCACGCCCTTTTGGACCAGAACCTTAATTTGGCACGTTGGACCAACTCGGCCATATCAATATTATTTTTGTTATCGCAACATTATTTTCATTTAACAATTTAAATATAAATGGTATAAATGTTTAACATTTAAATTCTTTGTTAAGAATGACACTTCGTACCCTTGGATAGTGTTTATCGCGAATAAAAGGTTGTTGAGTATGTTGGCTACAAGTATAATTAAAAGAAATAAATAACTTATTTATAAATAGCATTTCCGATCTAACTTGGCAAAATAACTTATTTATAAATAGTGTTTCCGAACTAACTTGGCTTTGGATATTTTAATACGGAGTAATTGGATTTGAACTTTTAATGGGAAAACTTCAAATTACGGGAGCAAATATCCGAACTAACATACCTTTGGACATTTTAATACGGAGTAATTGGAATTGTGTACTAACTTTACAAGTAATTGTATATGCAAATGTGATTTCGGGATTTTGAAATTTAATTAGAAACTATAACAATTGTTGAGAGTGGGATTTGAACCCACGCCCTTTCAGACCTGAACCTTAATCTGGCGCCTTAGACCAACTCGACCGTCTCAACATTATTTTTGTAATCGCAACGTTGTTTTCATTTAACAACTTATATATAAGTAATTTAAATGTTTATCATTTAAATTCTTTGATAAGAATGACAATTCGTATTCTTATATAGTGCTAATCGTGAATAAAAGGTTGTTGAGTATGTGGCCTCAAGTATAATTAAAAGAAAAAAATAACTTATTTATAAATAGTATTTCCGAACTAACTTGGCAAAATAACTTATTTATAAATAGTGTTTCCGAACTAACATGGCTTTGGATATTTTAATACGGAGTAATTGGATTTGAACTTTTAATGGGAAAGCTTCAAATTACGGGAGCAAATATCCGAACTAACATACCTTTGGACATTTTAATACGGAGTAATTGGAATTGTGTACTAACTTTACAAGTAATTGTATATGCAAATGTGATTTCGGGATTTTGAAATTTAATTAGAAACTATAACAATTGTTGAGAGTGGGATTTGAACCCACGCCCTTTCAGACCTGAACCTTAATCTGGCGCCTTAGACCAACTCGACCGTCTCAACATTATTTTTGTAATCGCAACGTTGTTTTCATTTAACAACTTATATATAAGTAATTTAAATGTTTATCATTTAAATTCTTTGATAAGAATGACAATTCGTATTCTTATATAGTGCTAATCGTGAATAAAAGGTTGTTGAGTATGTGGCCTCAAGTATAATTAAAAGAAAAAAATAACTTATTTATAAATAGTATTTCCGAACTAACTTGGCAAAATAACTTATTTATAAATAGTGTTTCCGAACTAACATGGCTTTGGATATTTTAATACGGAGTAATTGGATTTGAACTTTTAATGGGAAAGCTTCAAATTACGGGAGCAAATATCCGAACTAACATACCTTTGGACATTTTAATACGGAGTAATTGGAATTGTGTACTAACTTTACAAGTAATTGTATATGCAAACGTGATTTCGGGATTTTGAAATTTAATTAGAAACTATAACCATTGTTGAGAGTGGGATTTCAACCCACACCCTTTCAGACCAGAACCTTAATCTAGCGCCTTAGACCAACTCGGCCATCTCAACATTATTTTTGTAATCGCAACGTTGTTTTCATTTAACAATTTATATATAAGTAATTTAAATGTTTATCATTTAAATTCTTTGATAAGAATGACAATTCGTATTCTTATATAGTGCTGATCGTGAATAAAAGGTTGTTGAGTGTTGGCCACAAGAAAGGAAAGTTTCAAATTACGGGGATTTCTAAACTGACTTCACTTTGAGCATTTTAATACGGAGTAACTGAAACTGTAATCGTTGTTGATAGTAATTTGAACCCACGCCCTTTCGGACCAGAACCTTAATTTGGCACCTTGGACCAACTCAGCCATATCAATATTATTTTTGTTATCGCAACATTATTTTCATTTAACAATTTAAATATAAATGGTATAAATGTTTAACATTTAAATTCTTTGTTAAGAATGACACTTCGTACCCTTGGATAGTGTTTATCGCGAATAAAAGGTTGTTGAGTATGTTGGCTACAAGTATAATTAAAAGAAAAAAATAACTTATTTATAAATAGTATTTCCGATCTAACTTGGCAAAATAACTTATTTATAAATAGTGTTTCCGAACTAACTTGGCTTTGGATATTTTAATACGGAGTAATTGGATTTGAACTTTTAATGGGAAAGCTTCAAATTACGGGAGCAAATATCCGAACTAACATACCTTTGGACATTTTAATACGGAGTAATTGGAATTGTGTACTAACTTTACAAGTAATTGTATAAGCAAATGTGATTTCGGGATTTTGAAATTTAATTAGAAACTATAACCATTGTTGAGAGTGGGATTTGAACCCACGCCCTTTCAAACCAGAACCTTAATCTAGCGCCTAAGACCAACTCGGCTATCTCAACATTTTTTTTTGTAATCGCAACATTGTGTTCATTTAAAAATTTAAATATACGTAATTTAAATGTTTAACATTTAAATTCTTTGATAAGAATGACAATTCGTATTCTTATATAGTGTTGATCGTGAATAAAAGGTTGTTGAGTGTTGGCCACAAGAAAGAAAAAAATATCTTATTTATAAACAGTTTCTTTGTTGGTGTTAAGTTAAAAGTTTTTTTTTTTTTTTTTTTTTTTTTTTTTTTTTTCCGAGGTGCGTCCCTTAGTGCGAGGGTTGAACTAGAAAGAAACTGGTTTCGTACATAGATGTTTTGAAGTTTAAAAAGGAAAGTTTCAAATTACGGGGATTTCTAAACTGACTTCACTTTGAGCATTTTAATACGGAGTAACTGAAACTGTAATCGTTGTTGATAGTAGATTTGAACCCACGCCCTTTCGGACCAGAACCTTAATTTGGCACGTTGGACCAACTCGGCCATATCAATATTATTTTTGTTATCGCAACATTATTTTCATTTAACAATTTAAATATAAATGGTATAAATGTTTAACATTTAAATTCTTTGTTAAGAATGACACTTCGTACCCTTGGATAGTGTTTATCGCGAATAAAAGGTTGTTGAGTATGTTGGCTACAAGTATAATTAAAAGAAATAAATAACTTATTTATAAATAGCATTTCCGATCTAACTTGGCAAAATAACTTATTTATAAATAGTGTTTCCGAACTAACTTGGCTTTGGATATTTTAATACGGAGTAATTGGATTTGAACTTTTAATGGGAAAACTTCAAATTACGGGAGCAAATATCCGAACTAACATACCTTTGGACATTTTAATACGGAGTAATTGGAATTGTGTACTAACTTTACAAGTAATTGTATATGCAAATGTGATTTCGGGATTTTGAAATTTAATTAGAAACTATAACAATTGTTGAGAGTGGGATTTGAACCCACGCCCTTTCAGACCTGAACCTTAATCTGGCGCCTTAGACCAACTCGACCGTCTCAACATTATTTTTGTAATCGCAACGTTGTTTTCATTTAACAACTTATATATAAGTAATTTAAATGTTTATCATTTAAATTCTTTGATAAGAATGACAATTCGTATTCTTATATAGTGCTAATCGTGAATAAAAGGTTGTTGAGTATGTGGCCTCAAGTATAATTAAAAGAAAAAAATAACTTATTTATAAATAGTATTTCCGAACTAACTTGGCAAAATAACTTATTTATAAATAGTGTTTCCGAACTAACATGGCTTTGGATATTTTAATACGGAGTAATTGGATTTTAACTTTTAATGGGAAAGCTTCAAATTACGGGAGCAAATATCCGAACTAACATACCTTTGGACATTTTAATACGGAGTAATTGGAATTGTGTACTAACTTTACAAGTAATTGTATATGCAAACGTGATTTCGGGATTTTGAAATTTAATTAGAAACTATAACCATTGTTGAGAGTGGGATTTCAACCCACACCCTTTCGGACCAGAACCTTAATCTAGCGCCTTAGACCAACTCGGCCATCTCAACATTATTTTTGTAATCGCAACGTTGTTTTCATTTAACAATTTATATATAAGTAATTTAAATGTTTATCATTTAAATTCTTTGATAAGAATGACAATTCGTATTCTTATATAGTGCTGATCGTGAATAAAAGGTTGTTGAGTGTTGGCCACAAGAAAGGAAAGTTTCAAATTACGGGGATTTCTAAACTGACTTCACTTTGAGCATTTTAATACGGAGTAACTGAAACTGTAATCGTTGTTGATAGTAGATTTGAACCCACGCCCTTTCGGACCAGAACCTTAATTTGGCACCTTGGACCAACTCGGCCATATCAATATTATTTTTGTTATCGCAACATTACTTTCATTTAACAATTTAAATATAAATGGTATAAATGTTTAACATTTAAATTCTTTGTTAAGAATGACACTTCGTACCCTTGGATAGTGTTTATCGCGAATAAAAGGTTGTTGAGTATGTTGGCTACAAATATAATTAAAAGAAAAAAATAACTTATTTATAAATAGTATTTCCGATCTAACTTGGCAAAATAACTTATTTATAAATAGT